AATGATGGAGTACCTCAAAGTTTGATGCAAAAACGCATGATCGCACCGGCTCGCCGGGTGCGTTCCAGCCTGGGTTCTATTTCAAGGTTTCGACCCATCTCAGGCTCTTATTGGTCTACGGTTCGACTTACATCCACGCGTTATACATTTAAAACAGTTTCTTCTCCCACTACATCTGTAATCGGCCTTTCACTGGCTAATTATTCTTGCGCGAGTTCCTCAGCAGGTCAGGCGAAGCGGGCGCACTTTGCTGGCGCATTAGGGCGCTCTCTGCGCTGCTGCTCTCGTTTTGCTCTCCGTACATTTCGGAGTATCTCTGCAGTCCCGTGATGTTCTCTGGGTGTTGCGCTGGGCTGGGGGAATTTGCTGTGCCCGGCACATCTCACGTACGCCGTTCGCTTCGACGTGAAGCTCTGCGGTGCTTAAGCAGCGATTTCTGTGTGAACACATTCACCTTACTGTTTCAGGCAATTACAAAAACTCGGCTTGGCCCGTCTCATACACAAGCCGCAAAAAAATTTCTTTCCCGGCGACAGGTAGGGCTGCCCCACGGTGAATGGCGGCAGTTTGAATGTGGCAGGTGGAAGTGTGGGTGGTATGTGGCAGGTTTCATTCGAGGCAGCAAAGGGGGCTAGGATAGCTGGATATAAGGACTAAATGGCGCAGATCCTTTGCCGATTGACTAAGTAACGTGCATTTGAGGAGACAGGGGAGCGGTGAAGAACGGAAAGGATGAGGATGTGTGCTCCTGGGACTTCCCTTTTTATGAAACTGATGCTTAGGTAATGCTGAGAGCGGATAAGTTCCATGAATTGCACAAGAACAGGGTAGAATGGGTGCTTGGGCACGAAGTCAGCCTTTGCTGCTGTGAGATTTTGAATACAAAAAACAAAGGTGTAACTGTTGTGCACAGCTGCAGGCTGCAAGAGGCAACAGTTTGGGATTGCCTGCAATAATTGTACAATCCAATTGGACTTATTTGCCCTTAGCTTCACCTAAGCATAAGCTTCAGTAAATCCCGCCAGAATTATTTGCCCTCAGTTTCGGCTAAGCGCAAACCTCATAAATGCGGGGACCGCTTACTGAAGAC